ACCACATGGGTTTGGAAGGCTGAGTTGGCACTCTTAGCTGCTAAATGAAGACCACGCCCTTTCTTCCTGGTGCATAAATGTGTAGTAGTAAATTTTTATGAAGTGACACCTGGTATCCTCCCTCCCGCCCCCATGACACAAAAATGTGTATGTGTGGAGATTCTCCAAAAATGATACTTAGTGCTCATGCTGATTTATCTTTTGCTAATGGCTTATCTTCTTTGCTAGATATTTTTGTTTCATTATTATGGGAAATTTCAAGCATACACAAAAGTAGAGAGAAAAGGAAAATGAACCCTTGGGTACCTATCAGCTAGTTTCAATACATCTCAGTATTTTGCCAATCTAATTTCATCTATTCCTCCATTTTCAGGGGATGGGGCTGGCATATTTTAAAACAAACAGTCATCAAAGTCTAAGAAAGGATTGAAATAAACTATGTGTAAGGACGCTACCTTAACTCCCTTTTTTATCCCCTCGGTGCCTAGTACTATGCCTATTAATAGCAGATGCTCAGAAAAGACTGGTTGCATTGGGAGTAGGAAAAAGAAAACATGTGAAAACATCATTTTGAACTATAGGGCCAACTTCTAGGAAATACTTCTTGCCATAAAATAACTTCTTTCACATTACCTGAATTTATTGTCTACGGTCAGAATTTTCCTATCGCTTTTTTCATTGAAAAAGAAAACTCTTTCCAAGGGGAGGTTCAGGGTCTCTCAATTACTTATATGTTACTATAAATAAGTCTCATCTAGTGACATTTTCCCAAACATTAGCCAAGAGTTACCAGCCTTCAAAAGAACTTTCTTTTGAAAATCATTATTTTTTCAATTGTAAAGGTGATAGAAACCCATTAAAAGAGAAATAGGAAATAACAGAGAAATGGAAAATAAAAATTAGCTGTGTGTCAACATGTAATTCCCAAGATAACATTATCATGGTTAGCAGTCTGGTAAAGTTTGAGCATGAATCACATTGGTAAACAGCTGAATGATTACTATGTTCCTGGGAATGTACCAGGTGTGTTTGGGTGTATTCTCTCATTAAATTTTTACAGCAACATTTTTTTTTTTAAAGAGATTTTATTTACTTATTTGACAGAGAGAGAGAGATCACACGTAGGCAGAGAGACAGGCAGAAAGAGAGGGGGAAGCAGGCTCCCCACCAAGCAGAGAGCCCGATGCGGGACTCAATCCCAGGACCCTGAGATCATGACCTGAGCCGAAGGCAGCGGCTTAACCCACTGAGCCACCCAGGCGCCCCCTACAGCAACATTTTTTTTAAAGATTTTATTTATTTATTCGACAGAGAGCACACAAGCAGGGGGAGTGGCAGGCAGAGGGAGGGAGAAGCAGGTTCCCCACTGAGTGAGCCCAATGTGGGGCTTGATCCCAGGACCCTGGGATCATGACTTGAGCCAAAGGCAGATGCTTAGCTGACTGAGCCACTCGGGTGCCCCTCTTATGGCAACGTTTTAAGGTGTGTGTGTGTGTATTTATGTTTGACAGCTTGATAAACATGGTGAGAGGGATTGCCTTCAGTCACTTGGCCCATAAGCAGGCTGGGTGGGAGCTCTCTTTTGAAAGACTGCTGGATGGATGTTACAGACCCTTCACACCTCACATTTTTACTCCCAGGAACCAAGGAGACCTCACACGTGAGCTTCCTTCATGCTGGCTCCCTAAGACAGTCATTTTTGAGAATGGCACTAAGACTTAGAAAAAGGGGGAAGTGATTATTTTTAACTAGATCCACTCAAGAAGCCACGTTACCAGTGAAGCTCTAATAAGTAATCCTTAAGAATGACCCCTTGCTTTTATAAAACATTTCTTTTCTTTGGCTAAATTCCATGGGCTGCAGTTTAGCAATATTCGTCTACAATTTTTCCCAGCTTGCTCCTGGTTTGGTGGAGGTTAAATCTCTCTAAGCCATTCTTCCTCCTGCTGTTAACAGGACAGGGTGCTGGACTTGTGTGCGTTTTGGTCCTTTCTGCTTCTAACACTGTATAACCTCTGTGGTTGGAAGTCTCTTCAGCCAGGGGACTGTTCCTCTCTAAGCAGCTCTTAGAAGAACAATGTGCTCAGTCTAAATTTTCCAAGAATGAGATGGAAGTGTTGAATCACTGTATTGTATACCTGAAACTAATATTACACTGTGTGTTAACTAACTGGAATTTAAATAAAGAAGAAAAACACTATTGCTGATTCCAGCAGTTAAGCCCCCTGCAGTTAAGTGCCCAAGAGTTTGATTGGCTCCAGGAACCTGCAGACTTCCTGGAGGGAAGAGAACAGATGCAGGAAGCTCATGAACATGGTCCCAAGGAAAGGGACAGGGGGATACAGGAGAGACCAAAGGAAGCCAGAGGGAACTCTGCATATTTCAAGGGTTAGCGTTGGGTGCACCCAGGACCTAGGTGAGGAGAGAGATTGGAATGCCCGTATGAAGGTAATCGCAGAAAGCTTTGGGCCCGGCCTTGCAGACTCAGACCCCAGCTCCACCACTTACTAGTTGTGTGGTCGAAGGTAAGTTCCTTAATCTCTCTAAATCTTCGTTTTTCTCCTCTATAAAATGAAGAGATTAATGATTCTTACCTCGCAAGGTTGAGAATGAGAATTAGGTAAATTAATACAAGCGATTTAACCCCAGTGCATGCCATAGAGTAAATGCACAAATAAATCACCCTTCTTACTAGCCGTTATTACTGCCTTCAGCATCAATTTCTTGTGATACTTTCGCAAGACCCTAAACATGGGCCATACTGTTTAATTGCTTCCTGAGTCAAATCTTCTCTTATGTGGCTTGACCCAGGGACCTGACCTCCCTTTATAACATTGAATCTGGAGAGAAATGCTTTCTAGGTATCCTTTGAACTAACCTAGAGCTAAATTTTTGGAATACTACCATTCAGTAAGTAGGGGACTATCTTGAGAGGTGCAAAGCTTGTTTTGTTTTTGTTTTTCACAGTGAATTACCACATCCTTATGTCTAATTTGAAAAAGCAAACACTGGCACCTGGGTGGTTCAGTGGGTAAAGCATCTGCCTTGGGCTCAGGTTGTGATCCCGGGGTCCTGGGATCCAGCCCCACGTCGGTCTCCCTGTTCAATGGGGGAGTTTGCTTTTTCCTCTGCTACCACCGCCCCAGCTTCTGCTCTGTGTGTTCTCTCCCTCTCTCATCCTCTCCCTCTCAAATAAATAAAATCTTAAAACTCAACCAAAAACCAGTTTAAAAACTGTTTTTATTATGAAAAGACTGAAGTACATCACACAAAACTTCCAAAAATAAAAGAGAGAAAAATACTGTTGGCTAATCCCATACTCCTAATGCAATTATTGTTAGCTTTGGGCTATATTTCTATGTATTTTATTTCTGTAATTTTAGTGGTAGTCATATACACATACAGCATTTCTGTTTTCCTTTTTATTATTTAAGATTTAATCATACCTGTTTTCATGTCATTACTTGGCACAGAAAATATTTTGGTCTCCCTTCTATCCATTCAACTAAAGATATGTTTGGCTATGAAGACGGTCGCTGCCCTGGCTTTCTTTAGCATTTTCTGCACCCTTGTGATAACATGCTTAGAATTTGAGAAGAGAGGTCATTTTGGCAATGGAGGGAGGATGTGGGGGGAATTGCTGGCTGTCCCCGTGGCGGGTGTGGGTGGGCTTGCCAAGTAGCCTTCATCACCTTCATGCCTTCACTGTGGTCCAGGGTGGGCCCTCTGCTTTGTGGCCTCTGAAACTGGATTTTTGTCAATAATTAAGCGCATAGCCACCTCTCAGAGGTGAATTCATACTATCTCACCACACGCTTGCACAGTATGATATCAGAATGGCAATTCATCAGCTGACAGTGAGAATAGTTCAATAGCATGATGTTTGTGGCAGCCACCCAGTGTGTCCACCTGTTGGCCAGCCTTGGTCTAGAATCACTTAATGGACGTAATATGCCAACAATAGCAGTGATGTTGTGACCACTTGGCACTCACTATGCATCAGAGGGGGGCTGACACTACGTGTTAATACATGAGGTCATTCAGTCTCACCATAACCTCTCCAGGGAGGTACTGTTTTTATCCCCATTTTACAGGTGAGGAGACTAAGGCTCAGTTAAGTGACAGGCTTGAGGTGTCATGGTTGATATGTGGTGGAGCTGTCGTTTCTGTCTAAATTCAAACCCCTTATCATAAACGCTGTACTGTAGTCTGCCTGTTAGTCATACGGATTACCGAGCCCCTGTGTCAACATCCTCTTATGTTTCTTGCCCTCCCCCACAACCTGTTGGGATGTGCCCTTTGCCAGTGCCTCGTTGTGAATGTAACATTTATAGCTGAAACAGCCTTGGTTTTTATTGCCTATTGTTGAGGAACAAGTTTTTCTAGCTGTCACAGAGAAGAGCTTTTGTCTTTTTCCTTATTTTCTCTTTGGGTCAAAATAAAAGATTTTACATGTTATTAACCTTGTCTTCTTTTTTCTTTTTTTAAGATTTTATTTATTTGTCAGAGAGAGAGAGAGAGAGAGAGCGCACAAGCAAGGGAAATGGTGGAGGGAGAGGGAGAATCTGGTTCCCTGCTGAGAGTGTAGCCCGATTCAGGGCTCGATCCCAGGACCTTGGGATCATGACCTGGGCCAAAGGCAGAGGCTTAACTGACTGAGCCATCCAGACATCCCTGTCAACCTTATCTTAAAGTTGTGCTAGGAAGGGGCCATTAAGGAAAAAATTGAAGGGGGGGCAGTATTTTGGGCTGTGCCCCCCTCAGAGCTGAGGAGGCATTCACGGTCTCTTCTTTACCTTCGCCTCTTGTGTAACATCTGGAAACGCCTTTCTTCTTGGGAGACAGACACCCTGGGTGGTAACCTGGAGAGAATTCCTGGGGTATATAGACGGTTGGAACCCTCTAGCTCTGAAATCTCTGATTTTCTGACCTCCGAGCCCCCGTTGGAGCGTTCCCATTATTGTTAGTCAAGACCCACTGGGTTTAGGTTTTCAGTCTCTGCTGGTGTGTATCATTGAGGATAGGATTTCCATGTGAAACAACATGTCTTTGTGATTGCCTTTCAGAGGCTGCTGGAACAGAACTACTGAGCAAAAGCGGGCGTCCTGTCCCTGGTTGTTGCCAAGTTTGCCGTAGGCTTGGGAAAGTGGAGCTTGAAGCTTCCCGCCTGCAGTGAAGCAGAGAGAGATACATACTGCTCACAGTATAACAGACATGGGCTACCTGCTGACTTTCCACCTCTCCTACAAAGTCCGGTTCCGGTTACTGTTGCTTTTTCTCCTGTGCCTGACAGTGGTTGGGTGGGCCACCAGTAACTACTTTGTGGGGGCTATTCAAGACATTCCTAAAGCAAAGGACTTAATGGCTAATTTCAACAAGGTCCTGGTTTGGGGGAAGGAAGAAACTCTGACTAAGGAAGACTCCGTGAAAAAAGCAGACTTGGATGACTGCCCTTCTGTGTCTCCGCACCTCAGTAAGGCTTTTCGTGTTTTCTTTTTTACAAGCGCTGTGTAGACTTTTCAGTTAAAGTAACATTTATACAGAAAAACACAAAAATCAGCAGCATGCAGCTTGGTGAAGTTTCACAAAATGAACCTACGTGTATGATAGGTGTGTAAATTAAGAAATGGAATCCTCTAGAACCCTGGAAATTCTCATGCTTCCTTCAGTCATGACCCTTACTTCAAGATTCCAACACCAGGCATTTTCCTGTTTTTTAAACTTTACATCATCAGAAACATGCACTGTGGTCTCTCCTGTGTCTGGCTTGTTGTTCAGTGTTGTGTGTGTGAAGTGTATCCATAGTGCTGTGTGCACGCCATCTTCCATTATATGAATATGCCCAGTTTTACTACCAAGCCACTGGAGCCTTAGACCCACATGTCAGTGGACTGTATTTAGTTTACAAGTCTGCCAGATGAACTGGGGGTCCGTTGATCTAGGCTGGTGGCTCTGCTCCATGGGTCTCACATTCTCCTCCTGGGACCAGTGAGCTAGCCTGGGTCTGTCCTTCTCCTGGCATCCACAGAGCACAGGTGGAGAAATCCACTCCTGTCACATCTGAACATTCCCTTGGCCAGAAGTATAGAGTCAAGGGAAAGACGGAGTGAGTTTTTCATGGTTGTCTTTAGTGTTTATTTCTTTCTTTAATAACGTTCTGATTCCCCTTGGTGTCTTGCCTTTCTATTTAAATTAACAGCAAGTTGGTTTTATTGAACATGTTAATTAGAGAGGGAAAACTCCACAGAGATATTAGAAATAACCCACAGAGATTCTACGTGGCCTCTGATTCTCCAGACTGTCAAAGTGCTTGTAGTTCTCTAGATACTCCTCCAAGCCTTAAATTGTTTCCTCTTTCCAAAATGCCTTTTCTCAATCTATGACTGCCTGGTGGATTTCTCTTTGATCATCAAAAATCCAAATTAGATGACTTCTCTCTCAGAGAAGTCCATACACTAAAGCAGCCCTCCGTGGGGTGGCTTCTTGCTCTTAGCTGCAGAAACACCTGCAGACCTTCTTTCCTAATTGAATCACAGTCTTGTACCATGTTCCTGTTGTCATACTGCTTCCCTTTAACTCAGTCTTGGAAAAGCCAAATATTATTTCTGGTCATGGGGTCCTGATCGTGTTGTGAGGGAAATTATTTTGCTTGCAAGTGATACAAGTTCAGATGGGAGAATGGGTTGTTAAAAGGCAGATCTGACTGTGTTATCTCTCTTGTTCAAAATTCTCACAACATATTTAAACAATAAAAGTATTCCTAAAAAGAGACGGGCAGTGACCCAGTACGGAGGAAGTACCTGGATTGAGAGGGTGACAAAAGTAGTGATGAATTAAGATGGACCGAGAAGGGACAGAATTTGAGAAGATGCTATGCGCAGGGCAGGGAGACTGATAGAGGGAGCAGAAGCAGGCCCTGTAGGAGGTTAGGGCACCTACAAAGTTAAGACAGGAGGAAAGTGAGCAAGGGGACTAAGTTGGTATCAGACCTGTTGCAGCAGGCTCTTTCAGGAGCCAAGAATGGAGGCTTAGGTTCACTCAGATGGTGGGTTTGTTTATAGGAACCCTTCTCAACACCATCCCCTCCCAACAGCTCTGGTAGCTTGCCTTTCACGCAACTCATTTTCTTTCTTTCTTTCTTTTTTTTTTTTAAGGTTTTATTTATTTATTTATTTGTCCGAGAGAGAGAGCGCGAGAGAGAGAGAGAACGAGTGAGCATACACAAGCAGGGGGAGGAGCAGAGGCAGAGAGAGAAGCAGTCTCCCTGCCGAGCAAGGAGCCCCGGGACTCATTCCCAAGACCCTGGGATCATGACCTGAGCCGAAGGCAGAGGCTTAACTGACTGAGCCATCCAGGCTTCCCCATGCAACTCATTTTCCTACTGGTGGCTTTTCAGGCATCACTGCCTGCCAGCTCTGTGCCTCACACCTTCAGGAAAGGCTCTTCCTTGCGGGCCAGTTAGTCTCTCTAGGTGGCTGGAAGCAGTTATTTGCCCTTGGTGCTGCTGGGCTGAGCCTTTGAACTGCTTCACAGACCCTGGCACCTCGTCCAAGCAGCCATGGCCAGGCAGGGGTGGTCCCACGGAGCAAGGCATGGGGGCTCACACATTGGGAGGGCCGGTGACTGCCTTGCTCCAGAGAGGAGTGCACAACATGCTAGCATCTGCAGATGTTACAGCCTGAGCGGTGTGTATGGAGTTTCAAAAACGCACGGCTGAGTTCTCTGACCAGAGTTCTGCCTCCTCTCTTACCAGTCAGTATTCGCTGTTAATTCAGATTGAGGATGAGGGCCCATGGCTTTGGCCTAATCTATAAAGGCTTGCACGAGGTTGGTTACCATGCATGGCCTTGGCTTTCATCCACTCAGGTTGTGTCGAGACTCACTGGGCAAATGTGGTGTTGGGGGGCATCTGCTACCATGGCCCAGGGGAGAGTTAGGGTGTTGTGCCTACATGCTGCTGTTGGGTGAGGCGTGAGGCTGGTTGCTGTTTCCTTTCATGGTTTTACCTTAAGTGAGCAAGGATAGCTTCCTGGAGCTCAGGGACAGAGTGGGAGAATGGCCTTGCCCATGAGCTTGATCCATGGAGTGCTCCTGATTTGTAAGGGACTTTACCCCCCTTTGGAATTTTGAGAAGGAAACAAGGATTTGAGCAATTTGAAATTACTTAGTCTAGCCCTGACCTCTGCTCTTTACCAGAGCCACGGGGACAGAATGCCATCTCCCCCTCACAGTTGGGTTGCAGACCCAGAGTCAGTTACCCAGCCACAAGAAAATGCTCTTATGTGTCATTTACTTCCTTTTGCAGCTGGGAACCTGGGTCACATGACTCTGGTTATAGTTCATGACCGAATGAGCCTTTAAAGTAATAATAATAAAAGCCAGCACTCCTCTGGTCCTCACGGTGTGGTCAAATAGTGTTCTAAGTGCATTATGTAAGTGCTCATGTTACCCCTGTCAGCCCTTGATGAGATAGCCACGGTCATTTCCTGTGTTCTGTTTCTACTACAGAGGGCCCAAACAAGCTCGTTTTCAAACCAGACCTCACTCTGGAGGAAGTGGCGGCAAAAAATCCCCAAGTGCACAGAGGCCGGCATCACCCTGAGGAATGTAAGGCCTTACAGCGGGTCGCCATCCTCATTCCTCACCGGAACAGAGAGAAACACCTGATGTACCTGCTCGAACACCTTCACCCCTTCCTGCAGAGACAGCAGCTGGACTATGGCATCTACGTCATCCACCAGGTGAGTGGTCTGGTCTGCCCTCCCCCCCCATCCTCCTCTCTCTGGGGTGAGACTGAGGGACTTGGCCATTTGTGTCTCTTGGGTAAAAGGAGCAACAAACTCATCAAATAACAGGTCTCCTACCTCACTTATCCATGAAAGGAGTAAGGGAAATTCTTGTCTCTGAGTGTGGAATAATCAGACTAAATGCTGGGAAATTTTACTGCTTCTTAAATGAACCTCTGGAGGAAGTCTGTTTTGTTTAGTTTTGTTTTGTCTCATTTTGTTTTTTGTGTATGAGCCCTTCCATGTTGGCCAATGACCACCCAAAGATTTTCCCTGGAGATTTGCCTTATATTTCCTCCTGCCTTTGCTATATACTACACGATGAGATATTGGACTTGTTTTTCATTATTGATCATGGCTAATCAGTGGGAATCTAGGCAGAGGATCTGACAGGTTACTGTGTTAATAGCCACGGGGTTCTATAACTGTCTCCATCTTTCTGCCTATAACTTTTATTATATAAAACAGATACGTTTAGTTTTGACTTTCTTGACTCCCTTATTTGGCTTCCAGAAGCATGATTCAGTTAGGAGCACAGTAAGTGATAAGCTAGGGTGCTTTTGAAGAATTTAGCTCTAAGTAGAGAGGCCGATGAAGATGCCTGTATTTGGTATTAATGTTTATTGAAATAAAAGGCATCAACTTAAATACCCATTTCTAGCTTTCCCAAATTGTCCCACACCATTCAAATAATTCCCTTCAAAACCTCACAAATGCCAAAAGTGTAAGCAAAATCATTCACTACGTATTTAATGTTTCATAACTGGATGTATTTGTTTTAGGAGACCTTTGACAAGTCAGAGGATATAATTTTGCAATATATACTTTAAAGTAAATGGGGGCTCTTGAAATCAATGTGCATATGTAATATGACCATTTTTTAGAATTTGAAACAAAATTTTACTATTAGTGGATTATAATTTTTAAAAAAGATTTTATTTATTTATTTGGTTTTTTTTTTTTGTTTTTTTTTTTTTTTTTTTTTTTTTTTTTAGAGAGGAGAGCGAGCTCACACATGGGAGGTAGGTAGAGAGGGGGAGGAGGAGAGAGAGAATGTCCAGCAGCCCCTTGCTGAACACGGAGCCTGAAGTCAGACTCAGTCTCAGGACCCTGAGATCATGACCTGAGCTGAAGCCAATAATTGGACATTTAACTGACTGAGCCACCCAGGCTTCCCCATAATTATTTTTCTTTTTCTTTTTCTTTTTTTTTTTTTTTTTAAGATTTTATTTATTTATTTGAGAGAGAGACAGTGAGAGAGAGCAGGAGCGAGGAGAAGGTCAGAGAGAGAAGCAGACTCCCCGCGTAGCCGGGAGCCCGATGCGAGACTCGATCCCGGGACTCCAGGATCATGACCTGAGCTGAAGGCAGTCGTCCAACCAACTGAGCCACCCAGGCGTCCCTATTTTTCTTTTTAACACTGTTGTTCATTCTCAGGTCTTACTCAGGATAGCAACCCCCAATGTACAGTATATTTGTGACTAGAAAAATATGTCTGCTTGGTGATACTCTTTTCAGGAAAATACTTTAGTCGCTTTTGAGAAATGCCTGGATTTTCTTTATGATAAACCGTTTATTAAAGTGGAATTTATTCTTAAGGTTATGATCCACACAGCCATGAGAAAATTAAGCCTGTAAAATCTTCTTCATGCTATAGCTTTGTTCATATTGCTGTTTGAATTGTATTCTCTTCTTACCCAGTGATGAATCCCTTCTATGAGGTCACTATGAGGATTGCCTTCTTTTTTTTTTTTTTTTTTTTAAAGGTTTTATTTATTTGAGAAAGAGAGGGAGAGGGAGAGCAAGCTGGAGGGTGGGAAGTAAAGGGAGAGGGTCAAGCAGGCTCACGGCAGGGCTCCACGTGGGGCTTGATCCCAGGATCTTGACATGACCCAGGCCAAAATCAAGGGACTGACACAACTGACTGAGCCACCCAGGTGCCCTGAAGATAAACTTCTGCAATTAAGGATTAAAACAGGCTTCTCTTACAGTGATTCCAAGAAACTTCTAAGTAGCTTAGAAATACTAGCGATAACCTCTGTTTACAGGTCGAGATTTCTTGGTCTTTTCTGTTAAGCAACTTCTCTTGGAAGCTTAGTGTAAATTTGTTACATACGGTAGAATTGGGATCAGCTGGAAGTTAATAAAACAGTGATACTAATTGGCATGACTTGTATATAAAAAAGGTTTATATTTTTATGTGGAATAAATAAATGTATGTTTTTAAAAAAAATTTTGAGTTATTTTTATTTGTAGTTTAAAACCATGACCTTTTTTAAAATTATGAAATATACATAAAATTTAGTATCTTAACATTTTTTTTCCCCCTGATCAGGTGATTTTAGTGAGGGGCATCAGGGCAAGGTCAGTGGGCTGGGAGAACGGTGAGATCCGATGTCTTCAGCCCTGTCAGGATCTCGCTCCGGTTCACAGTCACCAAAAGTGCATCTTAACTGTTTTTAAATATATAGTTTAGTTGTGTGAAGTATATTCACATTATCATGTAACCACTCTCTAAACATTTCTCACATTGCAAAACTGAAACTACGTACCCATTCAACAACAATTCTCCACTTTAAGGCATGTTTGTCACTTTGGGGATATAAGCATATATGAAAAAATGCAAAACAGACAAAAAAAAAAAGAAACAAATGGTCTTTATTGTTACTCCATCAGATCTTTACTTGGGAAAAATAATTCCAGCTCCTGCGTCAGAGCTGGAGAGGGGCACAGTGTGAAACCTTAATCTCTTCCACTTTCCAAGTTTTAATTTCTGCATCTGTAGGCTGGAAGTAAAAAGTTTAATCGAGCCAAACTCTTGAATGTGGGCTATCTAGAAGCTCTCAAGGATGAAAATTGGGACTGCTTTATATTCCACGATGTGGACCTGGTGCCCGAGAACGACTTGAACCTCTATAAATGTGAGGAGCAGCCCAAGCATCTGGTGGTCGGCAGGAACAGCACAGGGTACAGGTAAGCAGGAAGGCGGCGCTGCGCATGGCTTACTAGGGCCAAGAAGCTCGCTCTGTTGTCATCAGGGCTGTGTGGGACATCGTGTCCGGACTGTTGCAGGATAACGAGGAATAGGAAAAATGATCCACGACCCATCACTTAAGTTCAGAACAGGAATCACAGGGGTCTTGGCAGGGGATGCAAGACAGCAGGGAAAGAACAGGAGAGGGAGAGCTATCCAAGCATTGCAAGTGACAGCCAGCCTCACCCACAGCACCCCCATCGTGGAACCTCTGCCAGGAAGTCCACGCTGCGTAGAACTCAAGTTACTTGCGTGGCTATCCCTGACTTCCCTTCCCAGGAGGCGACAAGAGTGTGCCCCTTACGTCGACTTTTAGGCCTCTGTTGTGAGACTGTGACGTTTCTTTTTCAGACTGTGGCATCTTCCCAGGGTTCTGAGGGAGAACGGGGAGGGGCATGGCCACAGACTAGTCTGTTCAAGGGCCAGGACTCCCAGGACAAGTTTCTGACTCTCAAAGCCATTGTGAGAATTGCTTAGGTCACGTTTTTCTTTTTTTTTTTTTTTGGGCAAGATTTATTTATTTATTTGACAGATAGCACAAGCAGGGGGAGCAGCAGGCAAGAGAGAGAGAGAGAAGCAGGCTCCCCGATGAGCAAGCAGCCCCATGTGGGATTCGATCCCAGGATTCTGGGATCATGACCTGAGCTGAAGGCAGACGCTTAACCAACTGAGCCACCCAGACACTGCAGGTCCCATCATTCCTGTCTTTACTTCTGCCCACTGTCTTCCAGCAGAGGCTTAGCTATTTTTCATCTTACTTCATACCAGTTCTTATTCAAGCACAACCAAGAAGAAATGATGACCAAAAAGATTCTCCATAAATGAAACTGTATGTTTGCTTATGTGTGTGCATGCTTCCCTGTCTGCTTGCCCCAGGCCCTGCCATTGCAAGTGTGCTCATGTCTGTGGTGCTTACTGTGCTGGGGGCCATGAGACCAGTTTGAATAAGGCTGGTGCCTGCCCTTGGAGAGCTCGCTGTGGTGCGCTGGTGTGGGGGACACCAGCTGCCATGGAGATGCATCAGTTTTGCACTTCTGCCAATCCAGCTATAAACAGTTGGTCATGATGGGGAGAGAGGAGGAGGCAGGGAGAGAGTCATGCAATTATAACCCAGGAGATTGCACCATTGTCTACTCCGGGAAGGGAGCGGGAGATGGAAATCACGAAATCCCTTGATAACGCACTTAATCTGAGTTTCCATGCTGCTCAAACTGTGTACGTCACTTTGGACTCTAAGAGATTTCTAAGTGTAGGGACACCTGGGTGGCTCAGTCGGTTTAGCGTCTGCCTTTGGCTCAGGGCACGATCCCAGGGTCTTGGGATCGAGTCCCACATTGGGCTCCTTGCCCAGCAGGATGCCTGCTTCTGCTCTGTCTGCTGTTCTCCCTGCTTGTGCTCACTCTCTTGGTCTCTCCCTCTCTCTCCGACAAACAAATAAAAACAATAAAAAAAAGATTTCTAAGTGTAACATCGCAAGTAATTTTTGCCTTAGGTGCTGATTTCACACCGAGTCCCTGTGTGAACTGTGGGATAGAAACAAATACCTAGAACAAGCTACAGTGGGTGAGCACACAAGGTCTTTAAAGAAACACCTACGGAAGGGTTTAAAGCTCTTCCCCATGGAATGTGGCCACTTCATTGTGTGCGACAATGGGAGCTTCCTAGCGGAGTTCTAAGACTTGGAAAAGAGAGCGCATGGCATGGTTTTGGGGGAAATGCAGGTAGTTTATTAGTGCTCAAACATGAATGTCTGGGATGGTGGAGGGAGGAGGGGCAAAGATGGGGGCAGGGAGGGGCTGGATTAGGCAGGTCTGGTTCAGGCAGCTAAGGAATTTGAATTTCCTTTTTTTTTTTTTTTTTTAAAGATTTTTATTTATTTATTTGACAGAGAGAGATCACAAGTAGGCAGGCAGAGAGAGAGAGAGAGGGAAGCAGGCTCCCTGCTTTGCAGAGAGCCCGATGCGGGACTCGATCCCAGGACCCTGAGACCACGACCTGAGCTGAAGGCAGCAGCCTAACCCACTGAGCCACCCAGGCGCCCAGGAATTTGAATTTCTAATGGAGGGGACTGAGGGCTTTCTGATACATGGATACAGCTGAAGAATGAGTGGAGGAGCTCAGTGCAGCTGGCCCTTAGTGTATCAGGTGCAGCAAAGCAGAGGGGAGAAGCTGAGAGAGGAGATGCCATGCTTGTAAGAGAATTGCAGGAGTTTTTCCCTAGAGGAATTTTATCATGATCCTTACCTGGAGATTTTGCTTCCTGGTCTCCTTGAGCCACTTGTGCATGAAAGAAAGCAGCCTATTATTCAGAAGCACGTCAGCAGTCTACATAAATTTAGTAAGATCATCACCATATATAACACAGAACACCTGTACTTTGGATCTTCCATAGATAACTTCCTGTGGCCCAGTTCTTTCTACACATTTGTGTCGAGAAATTACAACCACACAGCATTGTTTTTGATGTTGTTTATTTTTGGAGTGCAGATACACAGGATTGTTTAAAGGATTTTTATTGGGATTCTAGATTTTTTTTTTTAAATGCAGCTGGACCACAAGAAACTGAGTTCTTGGGTCTCCTGCTGGAAGTTAATTTTGAGTAAAACTTCAGTTGTCACAGTCAGCAGTTTCATCAGATGTTGCTCACTCTAAAAACAGCCCCTGCGTGAATCTTGGTATTTGATTTGCTACCGTCACTGGCCAGACATTTCCTTTGTAACTAGATATCAGAAAGCCTTTCTGTTCTTTGAGTAACTGGCAGGGTTTTCTTAATATGAATCAGGAGATTGAGTGTGTCTCTTTTGATCTGGATGTAGGAAGCTCTGAACCAAAGCCATGGCCTTCTTTTAGAAGCTGAAAAAAATCTTATTTGTAGATCAGAGTTCTAATATATTTCCTATTTTAATCTTAGATTCTGTTTTAAATTCTCCTCCGGTCCTGGTTGTCATTTCTATTTTTCTACTTTATCGTATGTATCATGTAAACCGCCTCATCCTGTGTGGCCCAATTAACGGAGGAGTTGCCCTTACCCCCCTCCCCTACTCCTTACCTTTGCTATTTTGGGCAAAATCCCTCTGGTTGCAGGCCAGAGGGCAGGTGGGGTCACAGGCAGCTAAACGTCTACTCTCTTGGCCACTATGTTCCACTGGGTCACAGAGCTTGAAACACGTGATTTAATATTTGCAACGGCCGCCCCATGAGTGTGATGAGAAGTGCAAGAAAAGTTTTCACTTCACCCACACACAGAGGAAAGAACTTACCTGCCCCCACTGTCTCATACTCTGATACTCTGATGAGGCCAGACGTAACTCTGGTTTATCTCACTGACTGTGGATCAGTGACGAGGCCTTGGACCAGCCTGCCGCACATTTGACTGCAAAGAATTGCTTTGGTACCTGACTGCTTTGTGCAAGGACGCTGCTGTTATTTTAGGGCTATATTTTCCCCACCTTTGGGCCTTACAGCCCTTTAAAAATAAATAAAACTTCTGGGCCAGTTAAGTGGTTATGCTTTTCCCGATAAGAAAAAACAAAAGCAGGGATCGACACAAACACGTAGATATTTGCCATTTAGGAAGCAGCTGAGAAACTGAGAGTTCCTCACCCTTCTTTCAGGCTGGTGTCCTTGTTTGCCTCCCACTGCGGCTACGTGGCTCTCCGGGTGCTCCCAGACAGCCCGAGTTTGTCCCTCTCTTCACTCGTCCTTGTGGCGTTCTGGCCGTAGAGTTTCCCCATGTTCCTGCCTGTTGAACCCTCGCAGGTCCACCTACCGCCGCTGCATGGCATCACCTTCCTCAGGACCCTGATGACCCTCGTGTCTTGTGTTAGACTGGAAGCTCTTTCAGGGCAGGGCCCCGCTGTTCCTGGGTCTAGCTCACCGTCTTGCACACAGTGGCTGGTGGTTACTTAGTCAACCACAGTCAGGTCAGTAATGGCTGTTTGCTCCTGGTGACCCATCGTGGGTGCCTGGCAGACTGCGTCTGGGCAGTGCTATTCCTTGGTGTCCCGATGAAGCTGCTGGTCTGCAGGGCCTTGAGGATGCCTTCCCAGGGGCGCCCGGGTGGCTCAGTCTGCTAAACGTGGGCCTTCAGCTCAGGTCATGATCCCCCGCATTGGGCTCCCTGCTCAGTGGGGAGCCTGCATCTCCCTCTCCTTCCTGCTCACGCTCTTTTCTTGCTATCTCTCTCTCTCTCTCTCCCCACCTCCTCAAATAAATAAATAAAATCTTCAACAAAACAAAACAAAACAAAAAACACCTTCCCAGTCAGAGGCCGGCAGCCATGGCAACAAGTCACAGCAGCTTATGTCTTGGCCAGTTACAGCTGCCTTCTGAGCACTATATTCCTGTTGCTTAAGTTGTTGTGATACCATTTTCTAGGATTTTAGGTTGAGGGGTTACAAGTAAATCTATTTCCATTGTGGGTTAAGCAGACCCTCCCCATTTATACTCAGAACACAGAAGCCAACAGCCGAACGACAGATTAGACTTTGAGACTCACACCTGTTCCATGGCAAGTGTCTGTCTATGTGCTTATTGATCTTTCCTTTTGGTTTTTCTTATCTGGGAAAACAGAAATATTTAATTGGTCCTGGCACACTTTGAACTGAAGTTAATTCAAATTAGAAATTCTCCATATGTTTGTATCTTTTTATTCAGTAACATCCACGTTACTAAAGTACCTACATTTTCATTTCTGGATTGTTACAGTGTTATATTCACATGTTGCCTTTTTGCTCAGGTTTGCTCATTTGTCCACCAGTCATCCATCAGAAACCCATATGACTGGGAGATGCTCTCTGCCCTGTTATTCCTGGTCTCTTCCCCGTCCCCTTTTTCTTACTGGTCTCTGCACAACTCTACCCTTTGCACTCTCCTCCTCTTACCTACTGTGTAGTCTTTAGGCAATTTCTCCTGCTCCTATAGCTTCACCCACCACCTCTGGACATCTTAGTTCCAAAGCCATATCTGTAGCCACTCTTCTCTTTTGGACTTGGATCCTATATCCTTTTGCCCACTAGCAAAAGCACCAGGGGTATCTCAAATTCAAATTCAGCTTACCCAAGACATAATCTACTATCTTCCTCTTACTGTTTCATACATTCTATTTCTGTTGAAAAACTGTATCCTCTGTCTTGTAGCCCAAGCCAGAAACCTCAAGATGGCTGAGGTGCATTGGCTTCTCCAGGACTCGGAGATGGAACTTCGCATGCACAGAAGTGGAGTTTGCACACAAAGTGTGTGTAGGAGCTGTCTCCTCTCTACCCCACCCAGCCAAAAAAAGTAAAAGTGAAAAACCAGTATATTCATTAGGGCATTCATTCATGCCGAACCTGGAGGCAGCCTCAGGATCCTTCCTGACCCAGTGCCCTTGGCCACCATCACTCCTTACTGGTTTGGCGCATGAGGTGAAATCTGTCATTCAGCTCTGATGATGTTGTGCGTGTTTACAGCTACCTCTGTAGACCTCTGCACACAAACATTCACAGTCACAGGAGGGGAGCACTTTGCTTAGTGAGCAGACAGGAGCATTTATTTAGGCAGAGGAAAGAAGGGCTGGCAGGAAGGCCAGGAACGCTGGGAGGTGGAGGTCAAGAAGGAGTGGATGGATGAAAATGTGTGGTCTTCAGCATGTTCCTAGGATGCTATCCCTGACACGAGAGACTTCTGAAGAGTGTGTGGAGAACAAAAAGGCCTTGTGCTAATGTTACCGTTATTTCTCCTCTCTTCTGCTCCAGGTTACGTTACAGTGGATATTTTGGGGGTGTCACTGCACTCAGCAGAGAGCAATTTTTCAAGGTGAATGGATTCTCTAACAACTACTGGGGATGGGGAGGCGAAGACGATGACCTCAGACTCAGGTGAACAACAGGGGCAGGTCCCCTTCACGGGGCTCTGCTATCACTGGTGGCTCTAGAAACCTACGTTTACAGAGAGTTCCTATAGAAGCCAGTCCGGGAGGCCATGAGGCCACAGAATCGGCCGTAAAGGGGGGGTAGGGGAGGGAGCCTGGCCCACATTGCTGTTTGCCACTGGCTGTTTAGAAATGATGGAGGGTCGTTTGTTTTTGGCTCCTGGGAGTGTTTAGGGGCCAGAAATGTTGATGGAGGTTTCTGGACTTGCTGATGGGTATTACTTCCTGAGACAGAGTCCAAGATTCTGCCAAACTGTAATTTGAGGAAAATGGCCAGAGAGCCTGTTGTAAGCCATGCTTTTCCCCAGACCCAAGGGAATCCTGGCACAGTTCGCCATTTCCAGAGCAGAGAGTGCCAACAGCTTGTGAGGAGTGGCACCCCCAGGCTCAGGCCAAAATGTCCTTTTGTGCTTAGGCCTTAGCCAGCCCCATGTACTTGGACAGGCTGCTGGCCTCACCCTCAGATTTTCTTGGACTACTTTCTGCTCTGGGGGGCTCAAGGGAGCATGTCTGGCTTCTTCTCTTAGCTCACCCACCCCCTTGTCTTGGGTGTTGTGATTAGATAGTTATGGGTATCCCTAGCTCCCCAACTTAAGTATACAAGAGCCTGAGGCTAGTATCTTCAGAATTCTAATGAAAGGCCTTTAGGGCTGTTAGGAGACCCCCCTTTCTCCTACTGTTGCCTCATAGAAAGGAATTTCTTAGCTGGGGTTCTGAATTAATAGATGTGTGACTGCCAGAAAC